GACGATTATGAGATGGAGGAGCTTGGTTATCTTGCTGACCCTAACCATCGCAGTGGTCAGTATCCTTCAAATGTTTTTCATAGTTGTATTGCTTCAATTTAGAAATTGATGATGATGATGATGATGGTAGGTAATCATCGGTGATTGTTTACCAACCGAGCTTAGTTTTTTCCTCAATAAAGCTCAGAATTTCCCAAATACTGTATAAAAACAAACGATTCACACATTTATGTATAATTCACAGGATATATAGCTGTTGTAGGCAAGCCCAATGTTGGAAAAAGTACACTTTCAAACCAGATGATTGGGCAAAAACTCTCCATTGTTACAGATAAGCCTCAAACAACAAGGCATCGAATCCTTGGTATATGTTCTGCCCCAGAGTATCAGGTTTGATTCTATTCTATTTCTACTTCAATTGTTCATCAGGTTGTTTCTCTCATCATCTCACGCTTTAACGGATTTCATTTCAGATGATATTATACGATACACCTGGTGTTATCGAGAAGAAGATGCACAAATTAGACACAATGATGATGAAAAATGTCCGTAGTGCTGCCATTAATGCAGACTGTGTATTGGTTGTTGTTGATGCATGCAAGACACCCCAAAATGTAAATTCAAATTCCTAAAAGAAAGATTTCAAATGTCGAACTTTTATATCCTTTCATTAACATTTGTGTTTGTTGCTTTTGCATTTAGATCAATGAAGTGTTGCAAGAAGGAGTAGGAGAACTTAAAGAAAATGTGCCTGTGTTACTGGTTTTAAACAAGAGAGATCTCATTAAACCTGGTGAAATGGCAAAGAAACTTGAGGTAAGAAATGTATTATTCAAAATTTCAAATCATATGTTCTTAATACTTATAATAATTGTATTTTCAGTGGTATGAGAAATCTACTGATGTAGATGAAGTGATACCAGTGAGTGCCAAATATGGTCATGGAATTGATGATGTGAAGGATTGGATACTATCCAAACTTCCACTGGGACCCGCATATTATCCCAAGGCATGTTACTAATAATAATTATTATCTATTTATCTTTCACACTTTTAATTATTATTGTATTTGAAGAATTAATATTTGTGTTTAAGCAGGATATAACTAGTGAGCATCCAGAAAGATTCTTCATAGGTGAAATTGTTAGAGAAAAGATCTTTATGCAATTCAGAAATGAAGTTCCTTACGCATGTCAAGTAAATTTGCACCATTTTAAACTAAGAATTATATAATCACAAGTTTATATATATATATATATATAATATATATATATATATATATATATATATATATATATATATATATATATATAATATGAGATTATGTCTATTTGTTTGGCAGGTGAATGTAATAAATTACCAAACTAGGCCTAATGCAAAAGACTTCATTCAAGTTGAAATAGTTGTTGAGAAAAACACCCAAAAAATCATCCTCATTGGAAAGGCATGTGACCTTTTTTTATGTTTTTGCTAAATATTCCCTTTATTTGTATTAATCGTTTTTTTTTAATGATTTAACCAGGATGGAAAGGCTTTAAAGCTTCTTGCAACAGCTTCTAGACTTGACATTGAAGATTTCTTGCAAAAAAAAGTTTTTTTGGAGGTATTATTGTATCATGTCAACAAATGATTGTTTTGGTCAATATTTTGTTTAGTTTTTAGGAAGAAAAAGAAGATTTTGAAATGTGAAATGAATAATGGTTGTGATGAAAACAGGTGGAAGTGAAGGTGAAAGAGAATTGGAGACAAGATGAAGGGCTTTTGAGGTATTATGGGTATGGGGGAAAAATTCAAGCTTTGTGATTGCAAACATGACATGACACTATTTGTTGTAATGAAGATAGAAAATTTTGATCATTAAGATGTAGGAAAATGTTAGTATATGGGCAAATATGTCTTTTTGATTTCCTTCTTCCTGTTCTTGTAACTTGTAAGTGTAACTCATCATTGTGAAATTTGTTAGGATGGTAAAATCACTTGTAGTATAGTACACTTTGAGCGATTTGTTTCATTATTAATTGTTCTTTTTACTTATTTAACATGTGAAATTCAAACAATATGAAAAAAAAATTACTACATATGATAAAATGCAATTGATGGTGGAGGTATGAGGTTTGGAGCTTTGCCCTAGTGGGGATAAAATGGGAAATGGAAAAATAAAGGTGCTTTTATTTATTTGTTTATCATTGTAGTTTATCTTTATTTTTTTTCTCAGTATAATAGTACAACAATTTCATCAAAATATAATTTGATTTTACTGGTAATGTTTTCCAAGTGTAATGTTCTCATAAGAAAAAATTGAATGTATGATTTCACAATTGGAAATAAACTTGTTAAGGTAATTAATTTTTCGGTCTATTCACATAAGGGTAACTATTTTTTTTTTTTTTGTACACATCTAGGTAACGAATTTTTTGAAATTGTTCACATATGACTATTATGATCAGTTATAATAGTTACCAAGACGTGAATAAACCAAAAATGTAGGAATTAATTACACGAATGGTCATTGTGGTTTGGGTAATTTGTGTGTTTGCTCCATAACTTATATTTTTTTAACTCGGATGATCTTTCCTGTTTATCTTTGATGTATGTTTGGTCACTGTCTTGCCTCAAAAGACTATTGTGTCTTTTTTGATTTATTTTTTCAATTAATTTTCTTATTTATGTATTTATTTTTTTATATATTTAAAAAATAATAATAAATCCTCACATATCTGTATCTCATCACCCTAAATCTAAAACCACTTTTGAGAAACTTAAGTTGGGCCCCACCAGTCACCATCACATCTCTCATCCTCCTCAACTTCTATTTCATTTCCATGTTTAGTGACATCAATGTCTTCATCGTCCTTTCTTTTTTCGGTCATTCAACTCCGACAAACAAACACCACAACACATTTGTCTCTTCATTGAACTTTCCACCACCCCAACCCAATAGAAGGATAGAAGGGTTGTGGTGTTAGTTCGCCAGAGTTGAAGGACCGAAAAAAGAAAGGATGGTGAAGACGTCGATTTCACTATAGATGGAAAGAAAACAAAAGTTGAGGGTGATGAGAGAATGAATGGTGACTGGTGGGACCCAACTTAAAATTTTCAAATGTGGTTTCAGGTTTAGGGTGACAAGATACAGATATGTAGAGTCTATTAATTTTTTTAAATATATAAAAAATAAATTAGAAATTAATTAAAAATAATTTTAAAATGTCTCAATAGTCTTTTGAGGTAAGACATGAACCAAACGCACAACAAAAATAAACATTAGGGATCATTCGAGTTAAAAAATTAATTAGGGACCAAACATACAAATTACTCAAACAATAGAGATCATTCATGTAATTTACTCTTATCTTTTCGGTTTGTTGACATCTGGGTAACTTTTTTTTTTGTATATATCTAGGTAACGAACATTTTTAAAGTGTTTACATATGACCATCATACCGGTTATGACCGGATGTAACATGTTACAACCGATCAGAATGATCATATGTGAGCACTTCTAAAAAGTTTGTTACCTAAATATATACAAAAAATAATAGTTACCCATATGCAAACAAACCAAAAAGTCTATTTCCCTTTCACAATTAATTAAAATTTTAGAGTACAATACCTTAATTAAAAAGAAATGCACCTTTTAGCAAAGTGTCTTTCAAAATTTTCCACCTTTTTGTTAAATCAGCAAACTATATACAAATAGGTGACTCTCTTTTGATTTTTGCCGATTCCTTAAAATTGAAACCATAACCGTGAAACACTAAATATAAATATGCAATGCCAATATCCTTTTCCCTGACGTATTACTTAAGTTGATCTAAAGCCCAAACCAATTGTAAAATATTAATTGGGCTTCAAACGTAATAGGATTGTTGATATGTAAATGGTGTTTGTATTGATATCTAAATCGTAGTTGGTATTAATAATATCTTTACCAAACGCAATTATTATTATTAATAAAATATGTATAATATTGATAACATAAAACTATACTTAAGTTAATATATTATTATTTTTATCTTTTAAAATTTCAGTAATATATATATATATATATATATATATATATATATATATATATATATATATATATATATATATAAACCATTTACAGTTGAAAGGTCCGATACGACTTCACCTTTCACAGTTCCAAACAACACTTTCGTTATCATATTATACCCTGTGGTGAAGTTGTGCTATCAGAATTTATGGAGATTTGTTCGATACTCAATAATATTAGACTTACTCCAGTTTCCCTCGGATTGAAGTTCAACCTTAATTCGGATGGTATGTATACGGCTAACACGATGAGGAGGTGTATCGATGCCACTGGAATACCTCACAATGGTCTGATCATTGAATGGTCAAGGATCATCCTGCTCAAGGTCAAATGCTTTGTTTGGCGTGCTTTGCAAGGAAAGATACATGTTCCTGTGGAACTTATGAGAAGAAGTGTTACTATTCATTCTGACTTATGTGTACTATGCGGTGATGAGCAAGAAACTGTGGATCATTTGTTAGTAAAATGCAAAGTGGTTGATGAGACTCATGAGTGGATTTTCAGATGGTGTAATTTACCATTGAGACAATTTCTTAACATGGATGAATTTCTCGACTTTGGGGTTTCATGGGGTAATTGCCCTAAGAAAAGGTTGATGGTCACAATAATCTTCTATTGTTTGTTGTGGAATATATGGAATGTGAGGAATAATAAGGTGTTCAATAGGGTGATTAGTTCTCCCACGATGATTGCAAATGACATTATTTCCCAATCCTTTTCGTGGTTTAAACATAGGAGTTCGAAATCATATGGTAGATGAGTTGATTAGAGTATCTCACCTTTTACTTTTTGTTAAGTTATATGTTATCGTATTTGTACTTTGTCCATGTTTCTTAGCTACTTGCTGAACATGTGACTTTTATATATAATATTTGCCGTTTCTTAAAAAAAAATATTATACTAACACAATTAAAACTTTTAAATGCAATTACAAGCACTTTATTGAAATTAAATGAGGCTGGATAGGATTTAGTTTCTTAATGGGCTTTTATTGTGGTGGGCCATATCGAGTAAGGCCTTGCCGCGTTGCGAAAAATGCGCCAATAACTGTGGCGGTGTGACCCTACAACAGTTGAGAAGAGAGGATCTGAGCCGTTCATTTTTATTGTAATTAGAAACTCGGAACTCGTACGGCGATCTTTGTTCGAGTACACACCCGACAATTGTGTCCACGAATATTGGAGAAAGATATTGTATATCTTATAATGGACCCAACGAACGGTTTCTAACTCTGTAAATTAATTGTTTTTTAAAAATAATTTTAATAAAGTAAATTATAGTTTTACTCTTTATAGTTGGCATTGAGTAAGACACTGTTCAAATCTTGAACAATTGATATGAATGGTCAACATGATTTGAATATATATATATATATATATATATATATATATATATATATATATATATATATATATATATATATATATCGTGTTGTGTTAGATATATGTAAAAAATGAGAAATATATCATTGTATAACTTGATATTATTATCATGTAACCTGATTTTATAATTATTATTCAAAGAATAGTCTAGCATGATTCTTTTTTTTTTTTTTTAAATTGCATCTCAATCATGATACACCAATTTTGTTTTATGGATTAAGTCATATATATTAACATTAATATATATTAATATTAGGAAGTGATTCGTAGACAAAAAATTTTCTATATATATATATTTCTTTATAAATAACAATTTAGGTTTTATATGATTCTACAGTACAACTAATTAAAATATTAATTCTGGAAAACATTTAGACGAATCAATTTGCATTAAAAATGCTATGTAAATGTATAACCTAGTTATTTTGTAATGTTATTATCTACTTTCATCTCCATATTAATAATAAAGTCAAACATAAATGGAAAGCAAACATTTTTTGGTTTTTTAATTTTTGTATTTGTAGTTGTAAATATAGTTCTACCAAACACAGCCATTATTTTTTTCTAACGTATTCTATGCCATTATTAATGTTTATTTATTTTTGGAAGAGCAACCCCATCTCCATGTGTTATGTTATGGGTTGAATCTAAGAAGCATTGATAGTTGTGATAAATCGGTGGGGAAAGGGAAATGACGGAAGACAACTCGTATGTAGTTGCGTTTTCGTGTCTCTTTCTTTCAATTTCATAAAAATACAATATTTAAAAATATATAACTTATAATTAGATAGATAAATTTTGTTGAGGATATATGTATCATTTGTTGTTAAAGTGATTGAGTTTTACACATATAAAAGGAGATCGGTAGTTAAGTCCAGATACTTGTGAGGAGGTGTATAGTGCACATACTGTGGATTATAGAAGGTGTAATCCAATGTTTGAGTTTGGATTCAGCAAGGGTTTTGTTAAGTTCCTACTTGCATCTAAGCATCTTGCAAGAAGATAACACAAGAACAATTGTTGAGCAAAGTCTTAACAAGATGTGTTTTTTTTTTCGTTGTATTAAAATAACTTAATAATTATATAGTGATAAGTACTTCAAAAGATTGTCTCGCAGTTTCTTTTATCTTCGATTGAGACATTTCTTTGGGGTAATCATCCTAAAAATCATAACAGTTACGTTGTTTCGATTTCCTTCATATTTAGAATTGTAAAAGATATATGAGGTCTAAGATAGACAACTCGAAGTATGTAGGCATAACTCTATTGAGTTCATGCATTTGTCCTGATGGAATTCTTAGCATTTTTATATATAATAGTGAACAAGCATAGATCATATGGACATGTGAACCACAACAACTCTATGTTAA